TTGCTCTCCCCCATCAGTCGAAACAACCAGTCCCCCCCCCTTGCGCCCCCCAATAGACCCTGACGGTCACCACTTACCCCCAACCTTTGATGTAAGACATGAAGGCACGACCAAAAGACATCCCCATCAAGTGACCCCCCCCCCCACCCCCCCCCCCACCCCAATAGACCCTGGCAGTCACCACTTACCCCACCTTTGAAGCCGGTAGACCGCGCTAGATGTAAGACAAGAAGACACGACCAAATGACATCCCTGCCTCGATGTCTCTCCGCCCTACGTGTTTTAGGCTAGAGAATTGGGTGTGTAGCTGGCCACTTAGTGCTACAGGTTCTGTTTGAACAGCATACAGCCTGTTGATACAACAGCGGGGTCATCCATAAATGACGTCACGCTTTTTTGACGATTTTTACCTCCCCCCTCCCCTCGTCACACGTCGTGACAAAAAAGCCAGACCCCCCCCTAAAATGACGTCACACCTCAGCCTACAAACCCCCCCCCCCCTCAAAATTGCAGTTGAATTTTTTTTAGACATCGATATTTTTCTAAAATCTTGTCTGAACTATGTCAAAATAGAGTATTTTAATCAATTCCTATTACAATTTATTAAAACAGTTTTCTAAAACGCGAAATAACGTCTAAAATTTGTTTTCTAACATTGCTTTTTTATAATGCAAAAGTGTGACGTCGCACCATCTGAAACCCCCTCCCCCCCTCATCACACACCGTCACAAAATTACGGACCCCCCTCCCCCCCTACGAGTGTGACGTCACTTATGGACGACCCCAGCATACAGTTACAACAGCCTGCTGGTACAAGTACTTATGAAGACAGGCCACTTTTTTTCAGGGACGGCCTACAAGGGTGTCTTTTAGTGGGTGGGGCGGGGAGTGGGGGGGGGGGGATGGGGCAAGTCACATATACGGGGCAGAATTTGTTCAAGTCAAGTGCAATAGATCGGTCTCTGCAATCACATAAAGCCCATTCGATTAAGTGACTTAACAAAAAAAAAGTGCTTTCATCGATCTAGGCCTTATGATATGTATCGTAACTGTCGGGGAAGAAAAACTAAGATATGTGGTGAGATAAGGTGAAAAATTACTTGTTCTGTTTCTACAACTTGTTTTGTGCCTACAACTTGTTCTATTTATTCAACTTGTTTTGTGCCCATATTTAGATCTGTTTTTACAACTTGTACTTTGCCCAAAATTTGTTTAGTGCCCACAACTTGTTTTATGCCCACAACATATATACCAACAATATTTCATCTACTGTTGGCTACATTGTAATTAACTGTTAATTAATTAAGCTGAATTTTTTTGTCACAGGTGTAATTAGACAGGACCAACCAACACCTCAGCAGCCAGCAGACACCACAACCACTACACGTCCTGTCAGCAACACCACAACCAACACCACAGAACACCATTCCTGTCAGCCGACACCCAAGATGTGCCTTCACCGGAAAAACCCGAACTTTAAGTTTCACTTTCCCTGCCTAGTCCTGCAGCCATGGGCACTTTAGCCGTACACCTCCACGCTTGAAGAGCGCATCTAGTCATCTACTTTACAGCTTCTGTTGATTTACTTGATTGTTCACTTGTCAACTAGACTCAACGCTGTCATTTAGAAATCAAATACATGGATGAAATACATTCTGGGATCTTTTTTTTGGAGTGAGAACTTCCTGGGCCTAGTGGTGGACAAAATTCTAGGCCCTATGTTAGGCAAAATCTTGACCCTGTGATAGGCAAAATCTTGACACTGTTGGAAAGCCTAAATTCTAGTCCAGACGCCCCTCACATTTCTAAGCCCTGTGTTTAATTAGACTCTACGTCCTGTGTTTCACCAGATTTTAGCCCCCCCCCCCTGTGTTTAACCAGATTTTAGCCCCCCCCCTGTGTTTAGCCAGACATTGCCCCCCCCCCTGTGTTTAACCAGATTTTAGCCCCCCCCCCCTGTGTTTAGCCAGACATTGGCCCCCCCCCTGTGTTTAACCAGATTTTAGCCCCCCCCCCTGTGTTTAGCCAGACTTTAGCCCCCCCCCCCCCCCTGTGTTTAGCCAGACCCTGAGCAGGAGCGACTAGACCATGTCCAAGGAATACGAGAATGCCCTCCGTGTTATCGCCAAACCTCCCGAGAAGCGGCTGGACAACGAGATCCATCAGCTGGTGCCCTGGATGCGGAGCAAGGCTAAGCTCTTCAAGTCGCTCAAGACGGGTAAGCTCATCTTAGCTCATGCAGCTAAATGTTCATCTTAACTCATGCAGCTTAATATTTATCTTAGCTCATGCAGCTTAATATTTATCTTAGCTCATGCAGCTAAATATTCATCTTAGCTCATTCAGCTAAATATTCATCTTAGCTCATACAGCTAAATATTAATCTTAGCTCATACAGTTAAATATTAATCTTAGCTCATGCAGCTAAATAGTCATCTTATCCATACAGCTAAATATTCATCTTAGCTCATGCAGCTAATTTTTCATATTAACCATGCAGCTAAATATTCATCTTAGATAATACAGCTATACATACTACATTCCTCTCAATTCGTTGAACTAAACATTCTACATTCAACTTAATTTGCAGAGCTAAACATTCTGTCTTCATCTTGGTTCACAGAGCTAAACATTCTACGTTCATCACAGCTCTCAGAGCTAATCATTCTTCGTTCCTCTTAGCTTGCCTAGCAAAATATGTTACAATCCTTTATGTTAAACATTCCAATACTTTTTTTTCATTTTTGTAAACAATCGGTTTGTGGACATTCACTTTATCCCGTAGAGCCGTAGAGCTATGTGTGGATTAAACTATATTCATCTTAGCTTATAGAATTATAAATTCAACTGCTTGTGAACCCATTCTACTGACACCTTAGCTCATAGAATTATAAATTCAACTGCTAATGAACCCATTCTACTGACACCTTAGCTCATAGAATTATAAATTCAACTGCTAATGAACCCATTCTACTGACACCTTAGCTCATAGAATTATAAATTCAACTGCTTGTGAACCCATTCTACTGACATCTTAGCTCGTAGACATATTTTTTTCCAATATCTTTTCGGTCTATCTTGACCGAAAGGTCATGAATGTTTGCCGCAGATCATTAGCCCAAAACAGTCGCACTGAAGGTCGGGTATTGTAGGAACGATATGGTTAACCTTCTGGTTATTTTAACGGCCTATCAATCCCCACCCAACAACCCCACCCACCTAATAATCTTTTACTTGTTTGATAACTTTGATATAATTTTTTTATTGCGGCGAAAGAAAAAGGGATGTTTTCTTATTTTAAGTGCTCTCTCTCTATCTCACTCTCTCTCTCTCCCTCTCTCTCTCTCTCTCTCTCTCTCTCTCTCTATATATATATATATATATATATATATATATATATATATATATTTATATATATATATAATGTTTTATTATTTGCGCTTTTTCCCGTAGGCGCTTTTTTCTTTGTGCGCATTTTTCTGTGTGCGCGATTTTCTGTTTACGCATATTTTTGTGCGCATTTTTCCGCTGCTCATTTATCTGGTAACCGTTTTTAACGTGTAGAACTGACCTAATGTTTAAAACGTGAACAAATGACCTAATGTTTAAACGTGTAGAACTGACCTAATGTTTAAAACGTGAACAAATGACCTAATGTTTAAACGTGTAGAAATTACCTAAAAGTAAAACCTGTAAAACAGACCTATACGCGGGCCTGAAGTGTACGTGACCTTTTATTCCCACAGACAAATTCCAGAGATCCTACACCAATCCTGGGATCAACCACAACAAAACATCCTCTGATTGCTAGATTAGTATCACCGGCCATATCACACTCAATCAACACAATCACCGGCCACATCACACCCAATCAACCCAATCGTTCAAACTAAATCAGATATCGATCACTTCCGTTATTGACTGCATGTGTCATCTGGGCTGTCATCAACCTTATGTCATCTGGTCTAGAGTTGACATCAACCTTATGTCATCTGGTCTAGAGTTGACATCAACCTTATATCATCTGGTCTAGAGTTGACATCAAACTTATGTCATCTGGTCTAGAGTTGACATCAAACTTATGTCATCTGGTCTAGAGTTGACATCAACCTTATGTCATCTGGTCTAGAGTTGACATCAACCTTATGTCATCTGGTCTAGAGTTGACATCAAACTTATGTCATCTGGTCTAGAGTTGACATCAACCTTATGTCATCTGGTCTAGAGTTGACATCATCTGTCTGGGGCGATGCCTGGATAATTTGAACAGGATGACATTTGAGGATGACATATGAAGTGTGAGTGGCCCCACACTCAACATGCCTGACGGCGTGGTACAGCGGTAGAGTACACGATTAGTTCAAAGGTTCGAGTCTGTTTTGAGATCCATGACACAGGCTAACTCTGCTGGGTACCCGACTTAGTTCAAAGGTTCGAGTCTGTTTTGAGATCCATGACACAGGCTAACTCTGCTGGGTACCCGACTTAGATGTGTATAGAATATAGGCGGCTTGCCACCTCACCGCTTGCTATACCGTGGTCAGAGAAACAGCTCCACTCTACTCCACCCTGCCACCACTTCAGGGAAGTACCTTATCGCTCACCTCATCGCTTCCTGTACCGTTGTTAGAGAAACTGTATTGAACTTTGTATGGTACGATGATTTACGTTGATTTACGATGATTTACGGTGATTTACGATGATTTACGGTGATTTACGATGATTGTCTTTTATGTTTTATGCTCACCATGTTCTGACATTTGCTATATTTAGCATATTCTATATTTTAATGTTATATTCGTCAGTTTGAACAAAAACATATCTCAAGATGGGCGTGACGACCTACTTTCGGACATAGCAGATGAAGCATGACAGACGACAGAAGCATGACAGACGACAGACTATTTTTGGTGCAACAAAAGTTGACCTATATAACAGACAGAAGGTGAAGGTCACCCAACACCGGGAAAAAAAATCTTCTATTGGCCATGTGAATAACAATTGGAATACCGAGTAAAGAAAATATAGCAGGAACTAGTCCAGCTTGTCTTTATTTACATCTGTTTGGTCTTATAATGAGAGTCTAATGAGAGAAAAGAAATCAGCCCGGGATGTTTGAGAGAAAAGAAATTAGGCCAGGATGTTGCCCCTGGTTTAGTTCAGACTTACAATAAATTTGGCGGGATATCTCTGAATGGCTGCCTTTAATTACAGCTAATTGCGTCGTTAATTGCCGATGTTTTTGTTTCATCAGGTTGGCGCGACCTCATTAAGAGTTCATTAACTGATTGATCGGTGTCAGTTAGGGTGTCAGCGTGTCAGAGTCACATGACATAACCTGTCAGACAGGTGAGAAAAACTAAGCCACGACCCCCCCCCCCACACACACACACAGATGGCCCCAACACATGAAACCAAAGCGAGTCACTGACTTTGTGTGGAGGGCGTGAGGTGGATCACAGTTTAGGGAATCACAATGGAAATATCTTTATATGATGACGTAATTCTTCCCGTTTAACGACTGTGATAAATGCTGCCTCATTTAACGACGGATGATAAATGCCGCCCCCAAACAACGACGGATGATGAGTGCCATCCCGTTTAACGACATGTGATGAATGCTGCCTCATTTAACGACGGATGACGAATATACCTCGTATAACGACGGATGATAAATGACGCCCGTATAACGACGGATGATGAATACCACCCCGTGTAACGACATGTGATGAATGTTTCCCCGTATAACGACGGATAAAGAGTGCCGCCCCGTATAACGACGGATGATAAATACCACCCCGTATAACGACATATGATGAATGCCGCCCCATTTAACGACGGATAATGAATGCTGCCCCGTATAACGACGGATAATGAGTGCCACCCCATATAACGTCGGATGATGAATGCTGCCCCGTATAACGACGGATGATGAATGCCGCCCCATATAACGACAGATGATGAATATACCCCGTATAACGACAGATGATGAATGTTGCCCCGTATAACGACGGATGATGAATGCCACCCAGATAAGGTCGAGGTTTTTATGTCACCCAACCACTAGTGCTAGCCATCGAGCTCTGGAGCAACAAGCCGCAGATCATCGATAATCGATACTGATCAGTGCAGTGATTAGAGGAACAGTTGCCGACTGAATTACATTTGTAGTCAAGCAAGACGGGAGAGGGGGGGGGGGATCAAATTGCATCATGCTGCACTTTACCTTCAATAGGTTGTGTTTTTTAAAGTCAGGATGGGAACAAATGCTGCAGGATCTACGTAATACGCGGGGGGGGGGGGGGGGGGGGTGGGGGTCATCCTTTTATGACGTAATGTGTTATAAGGGGGTGGGGGGGGGGTCCGAGAAGTGACTTTTTGTGGACAGGTTTGGATAGTGTATGCGTGTATGTATGTGTGGGGGTGGGTAGGGTAGGAGGAGTTCGTGTCGACATCATTTGTCTGTTATAATATTGATGCGTATATTGGAACGTTATAAAATCACAAAACTTGATTTAGACTACCATATCCTGATTTATCATACCAAAACTTGATTTATCCTGCCAAAACTTGATTTATCCTGCCAAAACTTGATTTATCCTGCCAAAACTTGATTTATCCTGCCAAAACTTGATTTATCCTGCCAAAACTTGATTTATCCCGCCAAAACTTGATTTATCCCGCCAAAACTTGATTTATCCCGCCAAAACTTGATTTATCCCGCCAAAACTTGATTTATCCTGCCAAAACTTAATTTATCCTGCCAAAACTTGATTTATCCTGCCAAAACTTGATTTATCCTGCCAAAACTTGATTTATCCTGCCAAAACTTGATTTATCCCGCCAAAACTTGATTTATCCCGCCAAAACTTGATTTATCCTGCCAAAACTTGATGTATCCTGCCAAAACTTGATGTATCCCGCCAAAACTTGATTTATCCCGACAAAACTTGATTTATCCTGCCAAAACTTGATTTATCCTGCCAAAACTTGATTTATCCTGCCAAAACTTGATTTATCCCGCCAAAACTTGATTTATCCCGCCAAAACTTGATTTATCCCGCCAAAACTTGATTTATCCTGCCAAAACTTGATTTATCCTGCCAAAACTTGATTTATCCCGCCAAAACTTGATGTATCCTGCCAAAACTTAATTTATCCTGCCAAAACTTGATTTATCCTGCCAAAACTTGATTTATCCTGCCAAAACTTGATTTA